AGGGTGTAAAAGGGAAAAAAAATGTAGCTTAAGAGAATGGAGGATTTTCCTGCACATATTTGGCCCTAGATACAACAAGCTATTCCAAATTACATCTGCTTATTGCCCCAAAGTGTGGAGAAGCCAGCCCTGTGTAGCAATAAACTTTACCTCTTGAAAAGCAGATACTGCAATATGTGGTGGTATGTGTGCTCAATTGCATCTGACTCTGCAACCCTATGGACTGTAGCCTGCCAGGCTCTCTGTCCATGGGATTCACCAGCAAGAAGACTGGAGTGGTCTGCCATTTCCTACTCGAGAGGTTCAAACTCAACTGTAAGCTGTGACTGATGCTCAGAGCAGGACATACTGTGTGTTGAAGAAGCTGACAGAGGTGTTCTTAGAGCCATTGTGGATAATTATATTAGTAAATCCTGAATAAACTGGGAGAGATACCAGGATACTTAAACCAGACCTGAGTTTTCTGAATTTCTAAAAGAAGGAAAGAATGGATTCTATAATCATTCAGGAAGAATTTTAATAGTTGTTCTTGTCTAAATCCTAGAAGGACTCATGAATAGTTTGCACACATTCAGAACCCTGATATTAAGAAGGAAGTGAGGAAAAACCCATACTAGTCAATATTAGTTTACTTAGAATCTATTACCTTAGAATAATTGCATTCTTTTTAAATAGTATTGACAGATGAGTAGAGTGAGTAATACCACAGACTGATGTTTCTTAACTATAAGGAAGCATTAAGAAAAAAATCTACCATGGTAGCCTTTAGAGAAGACGATTGCATATGGACTGAATGAGATACTCTTGGGAGGAAACATTACTCGTTTACCAGTGTGTTCAGATAATTGATAGGCATGGCAGTTGTGAGTTTAATCTAACATAGAGTCATCAAGTTCTATGTTTAAGCTTTATCCTGAAAAAAGATTCTTAGTAATGTGATGAATACATAGTTTCAAGCCTACAGGTAGGCTTATTTAGTTTGGAAATGGTAGAAAGAGAATTAGTCCTTTCAATGGCAGAGGATCACGTCACATTCAGAATAGTCTTTGAAAGCCAAAACGTTGAGCTAAAGTCAGAAAGATAGATAAGAGATAGATAGATTTGTCTGTATCTGTGCATTTATTTACACAGGAGTGTAGTAGAAACATAACTAAGAAGGATTTAATGCTCATTGTTGGGAAACTTTTTAATTTAATTAGATTTTTACATTATCATCAATTGATAATAATGAATTTATGGTATGACGTGGATGCTGCATGCCATAGTATTTAAGAGCATGGGTTTGGAATCAGTCCCTCTGGGTTTCATCTTAAGCTGTTACCTGGAAACTGTCTGACCAAATTTTATGACCTTTTGAAGTTCCAGTTTTTCCTTTGATATAAAAGAGATAAAATAATAACTACTTTTATATGCTTGTTATGAGGACTGCCTAAGAATATGAACGTGAAATTTTTTTAAAAAAGGAAAAATTTCATCCTAAGCCTTATGACTGATACCTATACATTCACATCAAGTGGCAGCTAATTGTAGGAAAAATTCTGGTCTACTGTGAACAAGAACAGCTAGTAAACATAAAAGTTAGGGTGCGCAGAGAAACTGGGGGAGCTGAAGGGCAGCTGAAAGAACTGCAGAGAGCAAGGGTAAAGTGAATCACAGTCCCCAAGACTTGAAGAGCTATCACGTGGAATAGTCAAGTTCTCCACTGCATCTACAACATAAGTAGGATTAATGTAGGTAAGTTGTAAAAATGACAGCTTTGGGCACAACATAGGAGAAAATAATTCTTGTCCCTGGTATCATGAAATTTTATTGACTTGTGAAATAATTTGGACCACTGGAGTTAGTCACTAGGACTCTAGCTAGTTACATTTCAGAAATGCTAAAGAAAGCAGTTTTTCTTTGAGGAGAGTATTAATAAAGGTCAAAGATTTAGAATGGTGCATTTTGTCATTTTGTATGTACGCGTATTTTGTCTTTGGAACTGCCTTTGCACTTGGGAGCTTTTCAGGGCTTTATCATTAACTTTTTTATTGCCAGTGTCATTGCCAACAATAATCCCTTAAGGAAGATTTGGTGAATAAACAGATAAACAAATGACACATACTTGTGATGGATGTGATCAATAAAGAGACTATGTTGAAAACACAACAACAACACAAACACTTTAGAGTCTTTTTATAAAATGAGCTCAGTGAAAGGTATTTTGGATGGTGCATTTAATGCTGAGTTATATGAGACTTGATTAATGAAAAGGAAAGGACTTAGGAGTTCCAGAAATAGTGGCCAGTGGAATGGAGCTCTCAGATACTTAACGATGGGCCTGTTTTCTCAGCAACATCAAGTTCCCAATATTTAACTAATGTCCTGCATTTAATAGTTATTTCTGGTTTTTGCTGCCAAGAGCCACAAAATGTATTTGTAAATGCACAAGCACACACACAAGTATATAGACACACATGTCTGTCTAATTCTCTCCTTACGTCCTAAAGTTTTTTCTCTTGGAGGTATTTGTCACTGGCTTGCTGTGCTTATTCGGGTCAGCTGGGTACGGCGGCTGTGGTCGGACTTGTGATTACATGCCTCACTCAGCAGAGCGATTTTTTCATCTTCATATATTTCATTCCCTTCACACACGTCGAGTTTCTCCTCTGGCAGTACTTCCCTCCCCGTTAGGCAGTGTGGTTCACTGTTGGGGCCCATTTGGGCACAAAGCAGACTTTTTGTCGAGTTATTGTACTGCTACCTTCCTAATTACAGAATTCAAAGCAGAAGGAGTGAATTAATAACACGTCCTTATTCCCTGCGGTGTCCGGGGTAGTGTAATGTTGTGACATGCTTGCCGGAGCACACACACTCTCCTTTCTGCCCTTATTCTCCGTTTTTTGCTGTGTGACTTCACAGCAGCCGGAATGGAAGGTGCACTTTACTCACCAGTGAGTAAATCATGTGAATGGATGTTTTAAAGCCCAGGCCCGAGACACAGTTCACTGAGAGAACTATACTTTCAAAAGCTCTCTGAGAACACATGCTTGGAATTTGAAATTGTACTAAATGCTGTGTTTCCTAAGGTATCCTAGCTAAGGCAAGGGTGTAAGGGCATAGACAGCATTTAAATGTGTGTTGTTACATTTACTTTCTCCAGCGAAAAAATTCTTAGCAGTTTCATTCTGCAGTCCTTCCATGCAGGCAAATACTTTGAATATGAGTGTCAAGAGCTACAATTCTAGATTACCAAAAGCCTGTAGGAATCATTTCTGTTTGCCAGCTAACAGAATTCTGATTCATTCTGATGGAATTAAGTTATTTTTATTTTACAGGGACTTCTGTAAATGAAATGCTTTCAGATCCATTCAGAGTGAGTGATGTTGACCAAGCAATTGAGTCAGAGCCCCCTCATTCAGGACTTGGTACTTGAGGAAGTTGGGGAGTGAATTTGCATCTTTGTCAGATACATATTTAAGGTATTTGGTAGGAAGATCCATCTCTTAAGAAACTTAATGACCAGGATAGATTAAGGGAGGGAATGTATTCTTTGGCAAAATGTGAATGTTTCCATTAGTTTGGCAGATTTCACTAAATTCTTTTTGGGAAGAAAATGCTAGTGGAAAGAAAGAAATGGGAAGTTATTATCGGAATATATGGGAAGCATAAGTTAATGAATTTAATAAATAGTGAACTGTTAATGTCAGGACCATCCCAACAACAAACTGACCTGAGGGAGCGGTGCTGCAGAAGAATAAAGAAAAAGAAGACTCAGAAATAAAGTGGGGATCAGGGGGCTGATGCCATTCGCAGGCAAAAGCCCAGATCTTAATCCTTGCATGCCTTTATTGTTGACTTCTACTTCCTTCTTCGTGCTCTAGAGGTATCTGTTCTTTACCATCTCAGATCAGGGATAAAGATATACAATGCACAGTCCTCAATGTCAAACCTTCAGGCCTTTCATGATTTTCTTTAGCCCTTTGGCTGTGACACCCTTTCTCAGCAACTCCCTCAAGGCTCTGGTTAGGGGAATAGTCACTAATGGTTTTCCATCAATCACATCAGTACTTCAAGATCTTGTATTCAAGATATCTTTCCAGGATGTACTTTTTATTGCTCCCAGCCCTTTGCCTGGAGGTGATGAGAAAGTTATTCTTATTTTTTCAAAGAGGCCCTGTTAATTATAGTACAGGCCTGTGCATAGCATATTCCCTACAGTTAATAGTCGGCTTGAAATATAGTTTTTGGAAAGGTGATTGACACATGATACTCTAGGTAAAATGCTTTGTAGACTAGATAACTAGAAGAATCACCTTTTTCCTAAATTACATGGCGTTAAAGTCCCCATCGAGGCTGAGTATAAGGCTGGATGGTTTGTGATTGTAAATTGCTGTTAGGTTGCTTTCCTATCTTCCCTGTGAAACAGTGAGGGCTGATATCATTGTAATTCAATGGTTAATTTTAAAAGCAAATTGAGAAAGACAAGTGTTTCACCACCGGATCATTGGCTTAAGTTGATCATGAGTCATGTCTATGTTGTGCTTTATTTTCTTCCTTTTAAATGCGATGTGCAGATATCTGTCACTTAATTCAAAAACTACAAAGCCAATTATGTGTATTCAAACTTTAAACACATTTGACACAAAAATTAGTAAATGCTCTCTCTTGAATGTTCGTTTTATCCTGCCATTAGTGCAGCATCTTTAAATGGTATATATTTAAACAGAACCCCAACTTCAGAAAAGTGTGTTGAAAACTAAACCAAAAGAATTCACATCATACTTACAAAGACTTATACTCCTTCCTCTACAGTTATTTTCAGTTTCACTTTTTAGGATCCAAAATAAAATTAAGGCCAAGGTTTTAGAATTCTCAAGAGGATTTTTCTTCAGGTTCTAGGGTCTGTTATCACTGTGTTGCATTTAACTGTGTGAAAGAGTAGATGTGGAATAAACTATAAATAAATTATATATATGTTTCAGATATATCATCTATTTTTACCAATACTTTTTTTTCAGCCATTGATCTTATCAATAATTTGCTGCAAGTGAAAATGAGAAAGCGATATAGTGTGGATAAGACCTTGAGTCACCCTTGGCTACAGGTAAAAATTAATCATTGGATATATTCTCAGTTGAATAAGCTTCTAAACATTTAAAGATGTGGATACTATGTGTTAAAAAATCTTGTATCATATTTTTGAAGTATAATTCTATCAGTGTGTTTGCCAAAATGCATGCCGCTTCTTAGGATTAATAATGTTTCTAACTGTATCAGGAAAATTGAATAAAGAAGAAACACACCACACACACACCGCAAAAACAAAAAGCAAGAAGGAAAGGTCATAACATAACTCCAAAGACCAGATTTCAGAAGCATCTGTACGTGTAATCCTGATAAATATCCAAGTAGATGCCCATCTGGTCATGCACTGTACTCATTTGGGAGCTGTATATTTAAATCCTAGTTAATACCCGTAAAACAAATTTATGGTAGATATAAAGCATATGCATCTGTTTGTTCTCTTAAATGTTTTGTTTTAATTTTCACATTGAAAATTAAAGTTTAGAAAAACGACCCTCTGAAATACTGAAGGATTATTTGTGGGCATTGAATTCCAAAGGAACACCAACATTCTGCATTGCTTAACTGCAGATATCAACTGCACACCTTCTGATGCGTGATATCCTATAAATAATATGCATTTGCAAAGTTGTGGCAAATAGGATTGCTTTGGTGCTGATGCTGTCGCTTCAGGGTGCCTAAGGAAATGCACAGCATGGTTGGAGTGGAAGAGAAAAAGGGTAACATGTATGTTGTGGGAACTGATAACATAAGAAAGAAAACTTTAATGAATTACAGTCGTATCTGGGGTAACACTTGCAATGTCTTCCTTAGGATTATCAGACCTGGTTAGATTTACGAGAGCTGGAATGCAAAATCGGGGAGCGCTATATCACCCACGAGAGCGATGACTCGAGGTGGGAGCAGTACGCAGGCGAGCAGGGCCTGCAGTACCCCGCACACCTGATCGATCCAGGCGCTGGCCACAAGGGCGGTCCTGAGACCGAAGAGACGGAAATGAAAGCCCTCAGTGAGCGTGTCAGCATCCTCTGAGTTCCATCCCCTGTAATCTGTCAAAACACTGTGGAATTAATAAATACATACGGTCAGGTTTAACATTTGCCTTGCAGAACTGCCATTATTTTCTGTCAGATGAGAACAAAGCTGTTAAACTGTTAGCACTGTTGATGTATCTGAGTTGCCAAGACAAATCAACAGAAGCATTTGTATTTTGTGTGACCAACTGTGTTGTATTAACAAAAGTTCCCTGAAACACTAAACTTGTTATTGTGAAGGATTCATGTTATATTTAATGCATTAAACCTGTCTCCACTGTGCCTTTGCAAATCGGTGTTTTTCTTACTGGAGCCTCAATTTGGTAAGAGTCTGCAGAACCTGTCCTTGAAATAGTTCTTTTCTGTGTGTCTCACTGGTGTCATCATTATAAACAAACTCTTGAAGAGTAGATTATTACCAGTGTTCTATGAACAACTCCAAAACTCGTGTGGAAAAAACGAGTGATGGAGGCTGGGGGGATCAGGGGATGAATATGCAATCCTAAGACGCAAGTGCATGAAAGAGTTCTACTGTATATTTTCAAATCCTTTGCCTGCCTGGTGTGCCTCAGTATATTTAAACTCAAGTAAATGGGCCTAGGTGCGCCTACTACTCTTAAGCCCAAATGCCTTAGAAATGTAACTGCCATTTATAGAACAGGTATATTTCCCCATTTCTTACAATACCCTGCTGTATTTTGGGAAATCAGCAGCTAAGCAACCTTTTGCCTTTGTGTATTTTTCAACAATAACAAATAAATATTCTTGTGAAAATGTGTCCATCTGACTGAATTATTTTCACGTGTGATCGACGCTAGTGTTTTCAGGCCAAGAGTAGGAGTCGCCGTTATCTTATGGCCTAGAACTTAGCTTTATCTATTCTGCAGCCACAGAAGTATGATTCGAAATGTACTGAAAACTTTCTGTCCTGCATGTCATCTAGTTTCCTATAGAGAAGTGAAAAATTACCAAAACCAAACAGAATACTTGGAGACATAAGAGTATTACAAACAGCAATCTCGGTGTAACTTCCTGATTAGAAAAAATGGCTCTAATTTCTTTTTAAACTAGTAGGTTTGGAGGTGAACTGCAATAACACATCAACCCTGAAAAATTGCTCAAGTGAGAGCCAACTTGAGTAATGTGCTGTAGCCTGGAGAAAATAAAACTAGTATTGGACTTTAACAGACTTCAAGTGTGTGAAGTCGATACTTGTGGACTATTTTTCTTTGTAGCAGAATGACAGTGAATTACTTATTACTGTTAACTATATCATATCACAGGAAAAAAATTGTAATGTTTGGAATAATTTTACGTGTAGTGAGCCAACTGAATGTATTTAAAAAGCATGTTAAGACACAAGCCTTATTTATAGTTGGAGGAATGGGAGAATAGTTGATCTTTCCAATGGTTAATCACTATATAATTTGTTATTATTTTAAGGAATTTGGAATTTATTCTGTGTAAGTCAGAGGACACCAAACTTCTTAAGCAGAAGGATAAGCAACATCAGCAAGCTCACTCTGCCAGCAAGACAGTCTGGATTGAAGCCAGGGTAGGGATGAGCCAAAAGACCAGGTAAACCATTGTAATAACACCGAGTGGGTGATGAGGGCATGAAGAAAGGCAGTAATAAATAGGGAGCTAGGTGGAGAGGTGTGTATAAAGATGTTGATAGATGGGATCAATGGAACTTAGTTACAGGTTCAATGTAAAATTTAGAGGAGTCCAGAGTGAATCCTAGTTTTTGGCTTGGGTGATTGATGGAACTATTAATCAGAAGGACTTACACCCTTAGGAAGGGTAAGATCACATTTGAATATGTTGAATATAAAGTTCCTTGATGTTAAACATGAACTTTGAGATATCCTGAAGATATTTAAATATGTGTGTAGAGTTTAGGGAAGAATTCTGGAGCTGAAAGTATATATCTGAAATTCAAAAGCCACAAACTGATTGGAATGACCCAAGTCCTTCAGGATAGGATGAGAAAGAATGATCTTAGGGACATAAACCTGAGAAATATCAGTATGAATGGTTCAGTCAGAATAAAAAGAATGGTTAAAAATAGAATAATATGGAATAATAATATGCAACTTGAGGAAAGAAGTTCAGGAGTGAAGTAGATAACAGTAGAAAATACTTATGGAGGAATAATGGTTTCAGCCTTTTGGGGGGCAGCTTTGCCAACTGATCCAGCAGTTTGTAACAAACATGACTCTTTCTGTTACATTCAGAGTAGCATGTCAAAAGGATATCTGTGTGGCCATGCTATTGAGACAACTTATTCTTCAGTGACATCAGGCACAGGAAAAAGTAAGTAACTGCTAATGGTCAGAAAAGAAGTGGGCCACTGAAAGTCACACCACTTTCTTCCACCAGCTGATGCTGCAAACAATCCAGTTTCACTGAAGTAGCAACACAGTTTATGCTAAATATCATCATTGTGGTTGTCCAGACTTCACATCAGTGATATATCGTAGTGTTCAATGACATATGGGCAGTAGACTGTTTAATACAAGAGGCAGAGCAATGTTTTTAGTATAGAAGTATCTTCTGATTCTGACAAAAATAAGAGAAATGACCGAAGTGTGATTCAGGGAGGATGTGTCCTCTGTAGGCAATATTCCTTGAACTGTGACAATATCAGTCCACTCAGGATGCCATAAAAATTGCTCTCCTCTACATATCCTGAGCCATTAGAACAACCCCCTCTCCCACCCCACTGTTTTTGCTTTTGGTCTGAGCAAAAGGACTGTGCCTAGAAAAATGTTTTGATCAGTGATGCTGTTGATTTGTCTATTAGCCCTGAGGGATCTTTGAGTTTAGTGAATACTCACTTTCATGGCAACTTTAAATTAAAAAAAAAAGGTCAGCCATTGTATTGCATGTGTAGAATAAGTATAGCAATGAGAATAAGAAAGCTATCTGTATCCTCATTGCGTTATTCAGTTAATGTTGTTTGACTACCTCTGACGTGATTGCATTTTACATACTGTCTATTTAGACTGACCAAATACTGGTTCATCTGAAGTCACACTGAAGCCCATGGAGAAAGATTGACTGCTTTTTGTGGCCAAAAGGAAACAAGCTCTTTTATTTCAGATTTTTCACTCTGAAACACTGTTCTTTCCACCCCATCCCCTTGCCTTGTTAACACCTGTTTAACCTTTCACCATGCATTTGACTTGTATTTCATGTCTTTTTGTGTTCCTCTTCTCTTTAATTACCTTCTTTTTTGTTAGCAAGATATTATTAGTGTAGAATTATAATTCCTTCATTGCATTTTTCTTATTTTAAGTTATTTTTTAGTGATTACTCTAGAACTAATTTGCATCTGTAGTAACCACAGTCTATTAACATTAATACGAACTTAATTCTGGTGAAATATACAAACTCTGCTCCCATACACCTCCATTCCCTACACCCTTATTTGTGACATTACTGTCATATATGTTATATACTTATATGTTACAACTCAATAATACTGTTTTATAGTCATCATTTCAAACAACTATTCTTTAAATCAGTTGAGAGAAGCAAGGTTTTAAAAAACAGTTTTTTATATTTAACTACCTTTTCCATTGCTCTTTATTTCTTCATATGAATTCAGAGTACTATCTTGTGCCATTTCCTTTATGTCTGAATGACTTTCTTGAGTTTTTTAAGGCCTTTCTGCTAGCAACAAGTTATCTCAGTCTTTGCATATCTTGGAATGCCTTTATCTCACCTTTATTTTTGAAGGAAAGTTTTGGTGGATATAGAATTCTTGGTTCAGGGTTTTCTTGTTTTGTTTTGTTTTCATCCCACTTTTTTTTTTTTGTAGCCTTGATCGTGTCTGGTGAAAACTCACCTTTAATCATATTGTGGTTCCCTTGTATGTGATGCATTTTGTCTTGCTGCTTTTCGTATTTTGTCTTTGTCTTTCAGCACTTTCAGATGATGTACTAGGTGTGGATTTCTTTGTTTTTATCCTGTTTGAGTTTAAGCTTAGATCTGTAGATAATTTTTTTCCTACAGTTGGAAAAAGTCAGACCATTGTTTCTTCCAATACTTTTCTGCCCTTCATCTCTCCTCTCTGGGTATCCTTTTACATGGAATTTGCTATGCTTGGTGAGTCTCACAAAACTCCGTTTTGGTTTTGTTTCTTCACTTTCTTTTTGTTCTTCAGATCATGTAATCCATTTCGATTTATCTTCAGGTTAACATTTTTTTTTTTTTTGCCAAATCAGATATGATGTTGGGTGTCTCCAGTGAATTTTTTATTTCATTTTTTTTCCAAATGTAAATTTTCTCTTTGGTTTTTATTATGCTCATCTTTCTAAAAAGTATTTTCCATCAGGTGAGTCATTGTTATACTTTCTTTTAATTCTGTAAATGTGGTTTCCCTCCATTCTTTGAACATGTGTGTAATAGCTACTTTGAAGCCATTGTTAAGTCCAGTTTCTGGGCCCACTCTCCCATCTTCTACCCTAACCAGAGACAGTTTCCACCAAGTGCCTCTTTATCCTCAATGTGCATCACAGTTTCCTGTTCTTTACATGTCAAAATTAATTTTTTTAACTAACATAGCAACTTGGTATCATGATTCATCTATCCCTTCCCCCCTCAGTCAGAGTTATAGTTGTTGCTTTTGTTTGTTCAGTAACTTTCCAGGATTAATACTCTGGAAACTGTCTTCCCTGAAATACACAGCTGCTTGTGTCTGCTCGTGTTTTTTTTTTGTTTTTGTTTGTTTGGTTTTTGCTTTTTTTTTTTTAAGACTGGCCTCCTGGATGCCACATCTAAGACAGCATAGGTTAGTAGTCAGTGATGAGTATGATGAACTACTAAACCATCGTGTAGTTAAATTTCAATTATATGTGAAATTGAAGCATCTCATTTAAATTTTTCGCTTAATCCATTTCTCCCTCGTTTGGGCTCTGAGTGTCTGAACAACATGACTCCCTGTACTGTGGATAAAAACATTTATCCCTGTGGATAAAAACATGCCCTATC